CTTAACACCGCAGAAAATTTGGACATCCATGAATGTGCCAAGTATGGTGAAAAGATGGCCCAAAGCTGATCAAGCTCAATGGATATCTGAGAAGAATAAGGAAGAAGAAGCAAAAAGGAAGCAAACTGAGATGTGGTATGAGCTTAGAGATTATACCAACAATAATGGTGAAAGTTTGGGATTCCAAAGAAGCTTTGAAGAATGCATAATTTGGTGGGAAGCCGGAGCTCTTCCGGGCACCAATATTAAAGAGGCCTTTGGACACTACATGGCTGGAAATGTGACTAAGAGATTTGAATGTGAGAAATTCAAGAATGATATCTGCAAGATGAGAGAACATATCAAGGATATATTGAAAGCTGACATGGGAGTCAACAAACCCAGAAGGTAATCAGATATGAACTCCTCAAAAATATGATATTTTGAATATCTATACTTTGGAATGATTTTGGCTAAAATAATATTTCCTCTAATCGAATAATATGAATAAATATTTCCCATGGTCTGATCTAAGTCTGTTTTGATTTATTTTGGCTATCATGTATTAGTTCGTGAACTAAAAGGACAAGAATTATTAAACGCATGCAAAAATTTGAAAAGACAAAAATTGATTAAAAAAAATTAATCAAGGGTGCGTATAGGACTTCTCTGAATTAATTCACAAGTATTATCCTTTTCCCTAGAATTATTTTTGTCAAACTCATCTTGGCTTTGTCAAATAAAATTGAACAAAAATTAAAATATTTTTCAATGACTTAAAACCAATGTTTGAGTATAGGTTATGGCATTATCAAAAGGGGGGGAAATTGTTAGGAATAAATTGTAATAGATTTTGATGAGCCATATTGTAAATCGTAGATCCCCAATTTTATTTTGGTTAGACTAGTCGAGTCATAGACCAAGAAAGGGAAAAAAAAATTCATTAGTTGAGGAAATGGATGAAGAAGATATAAAGCCTAAAATCAAGAATTTTCCTAGAGAAAATGGCAAACAAAAGAGGAAGATGTATGCGTATGATATTCAAGAAGAAATCCCTCAAGAAATCCCGAAGATGAAAGAACGTGACTTAAAGTTTGCATGAAGCTATCTTGAAGATCAAGCATCTATGGAAAGAAAGGAGTACACCAAGTGAAACAAAAAGATGACTAAAAGGTTGTACAGATGAGATGGTAGAAGCTTGAAATATTATATGCAAGGTCATAGGTTTGAATCTCACATCCCACATATTTTAAAGAAGCCATGGTTTGGCCGAAGGGATGCAATTTGCAAAGTCAATGGGATGAGATTTCCATATTGACTAGGCCGAAGGGATGCAATTCCCAAAGTCAATGGGATGAGATTTCCATATTGATTGACTAAGGGATGAAGTTTCTAAAAATTGATGAAGGGAAAGGGTCTCAATTCAATTGGAAATATAAATTGCAAGTCCAAAACAAGTAAGGGATGAGATTTCAATCTAGCAACGGATAGAGATTAAGTCCAAAACAAGTAAGGAATGAAGTTTCACAAGGGAAGAGATTTTCCAAGTGAATTAAAGAGATTTCATTTCCCACGGATAGAGATTAAGTCCAAAACAAGTAAGGAATGAAGTTTCACAAGGGAAGAGATTTTCCAAGTGAATTAAAGAGATTTCATTTCCCAAAATAGCAAGGGATGAAGTTCATTTCCCAAAATAGCAAGGATGAAGTTTCACAAGGGAAGATATTTTCCAAGTGAATTAAAGAGATTTCATTTCCCAAAATAGCAAGGAATGAAGGTTCACAAGGGAAGAGATTTCCCAAGTGAATTAAAGAGATGAAGTCTGGAAGCAGTATGCAGACTCAGACGTAAAGAGATTTCCCAAGTGAATTAAAGATATGATGTCTGGAAGCAGTATGCAGACCCAGACGTGAAGTACAGAGGAAAATACAAGAAGAAGTTGCAGAAGCAAAAATACTAGTCTAACTAGTAAGGGATTATATTTTGAAGATAAAAATCCCAAGAGGCGTGATCTACCCCAGATGGAGATTTATGGGATGCCATTTTTGCGAAAACCTCAAGCTCAACTTGCAGAGAAATCTCTGACATATCTGCAACGTTATCTTATCCTCTGACAAAAGGCTATACAGCTAAGAGAAATTCAAAAATGAGAACGTTTCTCTCCAACGGAAATATTCTCATTACCAGCTATAAAAGGATGAAGATTGAAGCAGTGGAAAGCAGGGGGCGAACAAGCAGAAGCAAATAAGCAAGAAGCGAAAAGAACAGAGCTAAACAGAGCATACAAAATTCAAAGAAAGCTTTCCACCTCAAGAGCTTAAATTGATATATTCTTTGTGAGATAAACACTCAGAGTGATACAGAGCTTACAAAAGAAATATTCAAGAGTGTTAGAATCTTCATCAACTTCAAGAGACTCAGCGCACCATCGAAGATCATCTACAGAGTCTCAAAGTTGGAATCAAGGAAAAACTTGTTTTGGAGCAAAACAAGGGAAAGGAGGAAAGTAACACGGAGTTGTGAAATCCTGGATTGTCACACGGAGTTGTGAGATCCGAAGCAGCAGTGTCGGAAGACATTGGGCGTGATTAGTGCGGGCTTTGTGATCAAAGCACTAGATCACGGAAGATACGTTTCTACTGGATCGTAGAAGACGGGGGGAAAGTAACGCGGAGTCGTGAAATCCTGGGAAAGTAACGCGGAGACGTGAAACCCGAAGCAGCAGTGTTGGTGTCACTGGGCGTGATTAGTGTGGGTTTGGTGATCAAAGCACTAGATCATGGAAATTCATTGTATATTGGAACCAAGCAGTGGTGGATATAGTGAATTGCTCTTGGAGATAAGAGTAAGTGGAGTAGGAGGATTACACCACCTCGCGAACCACTATAAATTGTCTTGTGTTCTTTACTGCTTTCTTTACTTAATGCTCTTGCTTGCTTCTCACGAGAATAATCTTGACACAATCTACACACACACCGCATCGTTTATTAATTTCCGCTGTGCACCGTACTCTAACAATCTAGTTAAGAGTTTTGGTTTATCTCTGGCTTAGCAATTGTGGTACTGTGCTAAAAAGTTTGAAAGTCTATTCACCCCCCCCCCCTCTAGACTTTCACCTCACCTGTTTTGGGACCAACAAGTTGTGTACCCGCGGGCGGAACGGCGGGCGGGGCACCACCCGTCGCCCCACCCGCGGGGTACAAGGCCTCGTGGGAGTGGTTCCCACGGAAGGAACCACGGGTGGAGGTCCACCCGTGGCTCCACCCGCGGGTACGCCATATTTTGTTGGTTGGGGATTTGTTCCCCCTGATTCTTTTGACTCGGTATTTGGTGTTTTGACTTCCCGATGTTCTTTTGTGGAACTATTTGAGTGTCTTCTTGATGTTTCGTATGTCTAGAACTATATGGTAGGAATCCATGTAGGTTTTGGTGTCTTGAATCGTGCTAAGTGTTCAACATTGTGATTCGTTGAACCGTGATGAGTCTTGTGTGTTCATCGGAACTATGTTTGGTTTACCCGTTTGATAAGCATGCTAGTTCGGTGTTTAAATGCTAGCGTGTCTGTTGTTTGACCTTTCCTATTGTTGATGATGACTTGTGTTAATCATCGTTGTGGTTGGACTGTGATCCATTCTTTGATTGAGTGTGGTTTCATATCTTCGTTGTGATCCATTGATTGATTCCTGTGATGGTGTTGTGTGTGTGGTTGTATGGGACATTAGTCACCCAGGTACGGCAGTGGTCCTCGTGGTGGCCATGACGCGATTATGGAGTTTGTGACCTGTGTGTAAGGTTCACGTATTTCTTGGGTGGCATGTGTTGTCGTGTGTGTTCGGTACCCTCGTGTACTATGAAATCGGTGGTCTTGTTGGAGATTGTTGGAGTGGGGACGACGGTCCTCGAAGGAATAAGGTTGGACTTGTTGTAAAGGGGTCCTAGAGGTACAGGTTGGAACTAGCTATAAGGTTGGGGGTAGCCATAAGGTTAGAACCGGGCATAAGGAAGGCATCTCAATTGTGATGGGTGATGTCATGAAGGCTTGTGTAGCCGTTGTTGTTTGTCTCTCTATTTGTGACGTGTGTAGTCGCAAAGGCAATGTGTTGTCAATGGTTGTGTCCTTATTCTCTTGTGTGTTGCACGTCGGGTGTTAATCTACTGTGTGATGGTAGATTATGCCTTGAGCCGTTTTTGTGAGTCGTTATTGCTTCTTGATGTCTTGGGATGTGTTCCCTTATCGTTATTGTGAGTGCATAGAGTCCTGTGTTGATCTCTATCTTGGCTTTTGAAATTGATATATACTATATCCCGTTTCGCAAATGATATTGTATATATAAACTATTTACATATGATATTTCACATGTATTGGTGGGTTACCAGCATCATTCGCTAACCGGGCGTCGTCCCAATATATATATCTGTGTTTCTTTCAGGTGCTGATTAGATGAGGGCGTGGTCTAGAAGCTGTTAGAATAGATCTCCTTTTCTTTATGATGATTCGGGCCTACGTGCCGTTGTTTAGACTTAGATGTTATGTTGTTGACTTGGTTTCTGAGATTGTTGGATTATGATGCAGATGTTTACGCCTGTGCGCTCACTGTTGAGTGAGCGTGGCATAGCACTCTACGTTTTCCATATATTTCATGCATAAGTCTTCCGCTGTGTATGCTTTTGTGGTTAGAATTATCTGCATATCTAAGGTTAAATTTGGTATGGAAATCGAGGGTGTTACAGTTGGTATTAGAGCCTAGGTTTGAGCCTAGAATGGTAGAGTCTAGACCTCTAAGTGGCTAAGTGTGGTTTGAGACCTTAAGGTGACCATAAGAATCGAAGTGTTAGGCTTAGGATTCTTAGGATGCGCGGTGAGATGAGCGTTGTTTATAGTTGTTTGCTTGTCTGTTGTCTTGTTGGTAACCGTGTTGTTGTTGTAGTAGTTTGCGATGCCTCCTCGTCCTCGTGCGCGTAAGCCGGAGACCCCGACGAATAAGAAGCTTGCCCAGAACCTACAGTAGTTGACGCAGACTATGCAGACTCTTAGCGAGGTGTTGCTGAACAACAACCATCTCGTGCCACCTCCTCAGCCTGCAGGACATAGAGACATGGGGCGTCTCGTGTCGGGTCACAGGCCACCGACCTTCGCGGGTGAGGAAGACCCGATCGTCTTGGAAGAATGGATGAGGACGTTTGATAAGATCTTCTCGGTTATCGGTTGTCCGGAAGAGCGAAGGGTAGAGCTTGCAACGTTTTACTTCAGTCTTGAGGCCGATTTATGGTGGATACATGAGGGCCCAGCTTGCCTTGAGGAGCCTGAGTTTGGTTGGTCTGCCCTGAAGGATCGGATGCACGAGAGGTTTTATCCGGCGCATGTTAGGGCTGCAATGTATGAGGAATTCCTTCATCTTCAGCAAGGATCTCTATCGGTGGTTGAGTACCACAAGAAGTTTCTAGAGCTTGCGCATTTCGCCCGGATGCTCGTGCCCACCGAGCTCACCAAGGTTGAGAAGTTCGTAGCTGGCTTGAACTACGAGGCACGGAAGGCCCTAACCGTGAGTAGGCCGAGTTTGTTGAAGGAAGCATACCTAAGTGCCGCGGATCAGTACCGTGTTCAGCAGTTGTAGCGAGGGTCTTATGAGCTTGCAAGAAAAAGGGTCGAGAGTGGAGTTTCTACCATCTACAAGAAGCCGCGACCGAGTTTTCAAGCTAAGAAAGCATCATCTCCAACCCAAGGACCCTATCGAGTGGAGCATGGAAATCAGGCCAAGACGTTCCCTTCTCGTAAGTGTGGGAAGGTGCATGCGGTCCAGGACTGCAGTGGCTTTGCGTTTCGATGATTTCGCTGCGGAGATAAGGGGCACAAGGTCGCCGAGTTCCCTCAACAAGCCAACCAAAGGGCGTTGCCACCACCCCCAGGAGCTGGAGGAGCAGCAGGAGGTAGCTCAAGCAGTGGAGCGGCCGGGGCCAGGCCATCGGGGAGAGTCTTTGTGATGGGGCGGTCGCAAGCAGAGACCGAGGGCTTAGTGGAGAAGGAGCTAGCAGGTAACCTTTTTCCTAGCCTACCCTTATCTTTAGAACGCATCTTGTTCTTTGTTGCCTTCGTGTGTTGTCTTGATCCTTCGTTGCCTATTTGAATTGCCTAGTTACCTTTGTCACGTTTTTCCTTGGTGAATAATTCTTTTGGTTGTAGTTGTAAGCCTTCTTTGACGAATAATTTCCTTAATGTTTGTGTATGAACCTTTATAGAGTTAGTCGTTTATTCCTAGAATGAGTCATGCTTGGATTAATTCCATAATCTTTGCACATGGATATTTTGCAACCTTTCCTTCTGGTGAGTCACCTAAATTTCTCCGAGCATTCTTTGAATTTGGAGAAGAAAATCCATAAAAATTGCAAACCTTTAGTTTCAAACCCAGGTACACCATTTGCCAATCTAACCCTTTAACCACTTGAGTTAATTATGTTTCTTGAAACCTTCCCAATTCTAATTCTATCTAAACCATAAATTCTCACTTTACCCAAATTCCCAAATTAACTCATCTTTTTCCCAATTCCTCCCCAAATCCCTAAACCCCAATTCTTCTTTCCTTCTTTCCCCTACCCGTGTGCACAACCGAGACACCCCCTCCCCACCACCCGTCACCTTGTCCCCGTCGCGACACCGAGCCACCACCTGCCGTTGTCGATCAGCCGCTACCACCGCCGCCCATCGGAGCTTCGCCGTCGACTTGCCGTGCTGACGCGAAGTCGAACCGCGAGAGGGAGAGCAGTGAGGAGAGAGAGAGAGAAGAAGAAAAAGAGGAGAAAAGCCTTATGTCCTTTTTGTTAAGCTTTGGGTCATCTCCAATCATGCCTAGGAGGTCAAGTTTGGCAAAGAAAGCGGAATGGGTGGATGCCCATTATCTCGTTCTTGAAGGTAAAGTGTAATACCCGGTTATTTGAGTATTTTGTTATAAATATTATTGTTCTAAATAAAATTTTATAAAATAGATATTATGTTAAATAAAGCATTTTTACTATACGGTCTGTAATTATATTATTTTATGTGACCCAAAACTATTTAAACTTGTCTACTACTGCTACTCTTTTATTTTTAAACTGTGTATTATAGCTAATAATTATTTATTTATATATATATGTTACGTATGGATACCTGTTAAGTACTAGTAGGCTAATATGTATATTAATATTATATTAAGCTTTTAAGTATTTTAGTTCCCTACAACTATAATTATTATTTATAATACAAGTTATTAGTTAAGTATTTAAGTAGTAGTCTAATTGTTCCCATCCTCATCAGTAGCTGATTCATTAAATCCTCTCATCTTGCTAACACAATACCGCCGAATAGAAAGGAAAAACAAAAAACAAAAATTTATTCCTCTTCGTCATCGATTCAATCATGATTGGTCTTGTTCCTCTATCATCAACAAATTATCTCCTTTGTTCACCGTAGGGATTCAAGTGTTAATGTTAATGTTGGAATCCAGGTAAGATTTATGTTCACTAAAATTTCTTTTGCCCCAAATCAAAAATCATTTTTCCTATGTGTTTATGTGATTCATGATTTTAATGAATATGTGATACTTAACATGAAAAGTTATTTGATTATATTATGCGAATAGATATATGTGTTCAGATGTTTTGAAAACCCTGCATATGCGATATGGTGATTTTGTGGTGATTAAGAAGGATAAATTTTACACAATTTGATCATTGCCTGAGAAAATTCTAACTGGCGCATCTGGAAAGAAAAATTCGTGAAAAATTCTTACTAAACTTATTTTTTCTTGAAACTTTTTTATGGAGAATCTAGAATTGATATAATTAATGTTTGTAAAAAGTTTTGATTAAAAATATGTTTAGGTTTTTCCAGAATAATTTCGTAAAGTTGAGGCAGTGTTCTGCCAATTAAATTACAGTCTGGCGCTGTGTTGGGAAATATTTCGGGAAAAATACTTCTATGCCTTGGATTGGCTTGAAACTTTTTTTGTGTAATATAGACTCTTTGTACTACGTATCTGGAAAATTTCATATTAAAATGTGTTACCGATTGTTCTTGGTAAATTTTGCAATTCAGGTCATACATTCTAAAAATTTCTGTCAGTTTCTTATTTGAGTTGTTGAGAATTTGCTTGCTTGAGAAATATCAGTAATGTTATCATTTTTATAAATATGGGGATGAGGGATAAAGAAAAATGGATTCTTAAGCATTGTGTAGTATCATGTTATGAAATTCTGGATACTTGGGTAATGTCCAGTTTGTTGTGGAGTGAGCGGTTGAATATACCGACTCACTAAGGAGCCTAAAAACTCTCTGTTATTTTGAGGAGTGAGCAGTGAAAACATATCCTGTCTCACTAGGACTTTTAGTCCTGTTGTATTTTGAGGAGTGGTTAGCGGAGTCTACCACTAGGATATTTACCCTGTTGAGTAGTAGTCAGTAGAAACGTATCCTGGCTACTAGGACTAGTTACTACCCATTGGGCTTGGAAACCCATTGGGTTGTGCACACTTAAGGTATTAGTTCTGTTCCACTTATATGGGATTTTTGCGTAGGGTTCAGTAGAGTGAGTACTGTTCACTTGGGCTTATTGAATAAGACCCTGCCCATCATTTGGTTGGTTTAAATGGGATTTTTTAGTAGTGTTCAGTAAAGAGAATTACTGTTCACTAGAGCTTAAGTAATTAAGACCCTGCCCATTATTTGAGATTGACGGGATTTCGTGTAGTGTCCAGTAGAGTGATTACTGTTCACTAGGGCTTGGTGAAACAAGACTTTGCCCATTACATTGAGATTGGTGTTCCTCCATGTTGGGAAAATTTTGGTATTAAAGATTGTGAGTATTGTTGGGAAATTATGGTTGTTGGAAATTTTGAGTATTTCATATTTGAGTTATGTTTCTATATGATTATGCTTTATTGATAAGAAAAGATTAAATGTTTAAAGGGTTTATATTATATGCTAATTTTCTGCTCCTATGTGCTATGTGCAAAAAATGTTTTACGGGGTGAAGTAGATCTTACAAGCTTTATGCTGAATTTGTGTGTTTCTTTGTTTTCTATTCTTTAATTATTTTTGCAGGAACTCTGGCATGAGCATTGGGCATGAGAATGAGTGAACCACCTAGAGATATCATTTATTAGTTAGACAGTTGAATTGTTAGTTGTTGATGTACTAGTTCATAATTTTGAGTTGTTTTAGTTAATTAATTGTTTTTAGCCTTAGCGTTTGGGTATAAGAGGAATACCTGAACGTGGCGGTAGCATCCCCTATTCTCTCGTTTTGTTTTAGCTTCCGCAATTTAAACAATGTGTTGTAATTAAATAAAAGGAAAAAAATTAAAATTTTCTCAGATTCTGGTTTTGGAAAATGGGGGTGTTACAAATTGGTATCAGAGTGGTACGAACCTTTGGGAGGCTAGGTTATGCCATGACCCATAGAACCTAGGTTTGTGTGACCTTAGGAATAAAATTGGATAAGAATTTGAAATTTTGAAAATCGTGGTGAGAATGAGAGGCTTTGCATACTGTTGCATAATTATTTGATCAAGGTGCATTATTTCAGCATTTGTTATGTGATAAAATATTTGTCATTTTATTTGGCAACATATTTGCTTATTTATCTTAATTGAGATTGTTGGGTTATTCTTGATAATTGATAAGCTTATATCTTGGTAAGGAGTTGCATGAAAGTTATGGGGACGTAACTTTATTTCTTAGGAGGGGGAGATTGTGACATCTGATCTTTGTAATGTATTTAACTTAAGTTTGAGTCTCTTGAGTTCCCTGTTGGTCAAGTCTTCGTTATTCCTTATTGTCTTATGGTTATGCATCGGGGACGAAGCATCTTTTAAGGAGGTAAGATTGTAATACCCGGTTATTTGAGTATTTTGTTATAAATATTACTGTTCTAAATAAAATAGATATTATGTTAAATAAAACATTTTTACTATACAGTCTGTAATTATATTATTTTATGTGACCCAAAACTATTTAAACTAGTCTACTACTGCTACTCTTTTATTTTTAAACTGTGTATTATAGCTAATAATTGTTTATTTATATATATATTACGTATGGATACATGTTAAGTACTAGTAGGCTAATATGTATATTAATATTATATTAAGCTTTTAAGTATTTTAGTTCCCTACAACTAGAATTATTATTTATAATACAAGTTATTAGTTAAGTATTTAAGTAGTAGTCTAATTGTTCCCATCCTCATCAGTAGCTGATTCATTAAATCCTCTCATCTTGCTAACACAATACCGCCGAATAGAAAGGAAAAACAAAAAACAAAAATTTATTCCTCTTCGTCATCGATTCAATCATGATTGGTCTTGTTCCTCTATCATCAACAAATTCTCTCCTTTGTTCACCGTAGGGATTCAAGTGTTAATGTTAATGTTGGAATCCAGGTAAGATTTATGTTCACTAAAATTTCTTTTGCCCCAAATCAAAAATCATTTTTCCTATGTGTTTATGTGATTCATGATTTTAATGAATATGTGATACTTAACGTGAAAAGTTATTTGATTATATTATGCGAATAGATATATGTGTTTAGATGTTTCGAAAACCCTGCATATGTGATATGGTGATTTTGTGGTGATTAAGA